CTTTCAACAAAGAGCCCTTCAGTCCCGAGGCCTGAGGTCTCTTTAGAACACGCGGGATAGTAAAGAAACAGCTACCCGGCCAAGCTCCCTTTCCTGGGGCTGGGGGGCTGGGGAGCCTCTGGCTGTTCCCCATCCCTGCACAACCCGCAGAGATCCACGGCGTCCTTTCCCTGTGCCTTCCAGAGCCCCCGTCCAAACCAGGGGCCCCGAATGGTTCTTATATTTTGTGTTTGGTTCACACACACACAGAGCTATGGAAAGGATGGAGAAAGTGCCAGGAATAAGCTAACTGATGGGCCTGGATGGGGAGGATGCTATTGGATTATTTTTTAATAACCTTTTTTTTTTCTGATTAAAAAGAAGCAGAGAAATCATAGAGACGTTGGGAAAAGGAATGATGTGAATGTGAACCTGCCCCCGACCCTCCGCTACTTGAAGCATCTTGTGAGCAGATCTGTCTGTTTATCCTAGCATCTTCAGTGTCTAGCACACCCATTCTTCATGCAAGATACATTTGTGGATGAATGAATGAGGAAGCAGAAGCATCTATAACCAGGTACTGTGATAACTTGTGTCCAAGTTAAGGGCCAAGTTACGCAAGGCAAAAAGTCTCAACACACACCACCCCCACCTCCTTCCTGTTCACTATGTGCCATTAGGTTTCCCCCCTCTATGGAGCTTGAAGCTGTTTCGGAAGGAAAGTGCGAGAGCAGGAAGGAAACGGGCTGCCTTACTGGTTCTCCAGGACTGCGTACTGCGTTTGGAGCTGTCTGCAACAGACCAGACGAAGAGGCTCGCTGTGTTCTTTATTGCTATTCCTGAGGTAGCCCTCTGAGTCTATTTTGGGAATGTGGACAGATTTAAAGGCGGCGGCGTGTGTGAGAGAGTTAGAGACATTTAGCAGCTGCTGAAATACAGGTACCGGTTAATCAGAACAGACCCTGGTGCGGCTCATTCATTCCCGCCCATAATAGCAGCTCTACACAAGTGGGAAGCAAACACAGCCATTCCTGTTGTCACCAACTGACTTACAGAAATAGACACATACGGGGTAGCACATTAAGTTAGAGGATTTCTAGTATATGCGGCTTCCCACACTCCTAAAGCAGACACTGACTTCCCATGAAGGAGTAAGAATAGTGACTGTGAAGCAAGTGTCGGTAACCTGAGACCCAGAGGTGGTTTTCAGGGATCTGCAAACAGTCCCCATCCTGAAGCTGCACAGACGGACGTGTGGAGAAATTTTTCTCAGGAGAGGGTCTAGAGCAGACAGATTCTTACAGGGGGTCCTGACCCGCAAAGGTTAAGAAACCCGTGCTCTATAGCAGTAATAGGCCAGCAACTTAGTCCATGAAGAACATGGCAATAAGCAAATTCTCTCTCTTTTGTTTTTCTAAAAAGAACAAATGCGTTCTTGGGTGTATCTGGATTACTGCTTTTATTTGCCAACTTGGCCAGCAGCAAGTTGGCAAGTTATCTATAAATGCTGAGTAGCATCAATGAAAGTGTGTTTTGACAGAGCGAATCAACATTATTACTTGGCAGTGTTCCTCCAGGCGCTGAGGTACCAAGAATGGACAGTGTCCCTGCTGTCAGGAAGTCAGTCCCATCGTGGGAGCTGATGTGCAGACAGATGGTTAGAATGCAGGGTGATGGTGCTCCACAGGCATCCTCAGAGTGCTGGGCGAGGGAGGACCAGTCTGCCTGGAGCAGCTAGAGGGCTTCACACCCAACGGGACCCTGGAGGGGTTCAGAACAGGCCTCTCCAAAATGTGCCACTTTGGCATGTGGATTATTTTGAGTGCAAGGCAACGGAGACCCTACGGCCCCAAGAGAAACATTTACCTCTCCCTTAAGGGATTTATATTTGGGGCCTTGACCATAATAAAAGTTATTACCAGAAATAACTTTTTATGGCGTATTTATATGACAGGGCAGACTTCTAATTACAAAACATTTGCTCTTTTTATTGTCCTACAGTGACCTTCCTCCCCTCTGAAGCCCCAAGGCGCCATACCTCATTCTCAGCTCAGGATGCCATACATACCTCATTTTATTTTATTATTATTTTTTTAATTGATTTTTTACAGAGAGGAAGGGAGAGGGATAGAGAATTAGAAACATTGATGAGAAAAACATCCCCGCAACCAAGGTACATGCTCTTGACTGGAATCGAACCTGGGACCCTTGAGTCTGCAGGCTGACGCTCTATCCACTGAACCAAACCGGTTAGGGCACATACCTCATTTTAACTGTCCCCGAACCTCTCATGTATATGGGGTTTCCGACTCTCGTATATGTGGGGTTCCCCTGTGTCTGTATGTAATTAAAATTGGTGATTGCCCCTTGTTAATCTGTCTTATGTAGACTTGTTAGAGCAGCTGAAAGAACTTAGGAGCATAGAGTACAATTTCTTCTCCCCGGAGCCCTGAGGGCAGGAGAGACTGTATTCCAAGAAAGCTCAAGGAGCAGAGTTAGAGGTGTTCTGCTGTCTACACTCCCCCTGACAAGCTCGGGGAGGCCTGCGTGGTGGCCTTACAACCCAGAGACCTAGAGCAGCCACAAAGGATGATCTGAAATGAAAACGTCCTAACTAATAGCAGGTTATGGCAGGCAGTCATGTCCTAGGCCAGAATCTGCCCTGACAAAAGTCAATCTTTACCTTAATTAAGCCTGTTGTCTTTTTGCTTCCATGATAAGATACTTTTGGAATGTCTAAGTGATTTCCTTTTTCTGGACGCTGAAAAGACAGATACTGCACCAGAGCAGAGGTCACAAATCCCCATTATCATCGAGTTAATTATTGACTGTTAACTACCCTGTACCCATCCATGTAAAAGAAGTATGCGTCTATATTTTGTTAATCCTCACCTGAGGATACTTTTTCCATTGATTATCTTTTTAGAGAGAGTGGAAGGGGAAGCGGAGAAGAGAGAGAAAGACAGAGAGACAGACAGAGACAGACAGAGACATCGATTGATTGGTTGCCTCCTGCACACGCCGGACTGGGCTGGGGATCGAGCCTGCAACCGGGAATTACGTGCCCTTGACCAGAATCGAACTCGAAACCCTTCAATACTTGGGCCGACAATGCTGTAACCACAGAGCCAAACCGGCCAGGGCTATCATTTTACTTTTTACCCAATTCCAGAAGTTTCCCCGCGTTGCCTTCTCCTGCCTCCCTAATCGATCACCAGTGGATTTCATGTAACTCATTTACGCCCTGCCCTCTCTGTCCTCTTCTGATTGTAATGTATAAAGCAGGGTGCAGAACTGCCATTTTTCCAAAGCTTTTTCTCACCCTGTTGAGATTTTGCTTCCCGGCAATCATCGTCAATTTGGCTCAAAAAACTCACAAAAATTCTCGAAAGGTTTGAATGCTTCTTACGTTGACATGTCTTATATGTGAAATATGTAAGTTAGCACTTGAAAGGTTCTAATCAGGAATCACACCTCAGGGGAGTTAGCATTTCAAAGTATTTCATCACAAGTCTAACCTGCAGAGGCAGCTACTATATGTCTTCAGCAGATAATTTGCCAGGAATAATTTTATGCTGGTGAGTCGTATGATACTCAAGGTATATGGATTGGCTGGAAAAACAGACAGACAGGTGCCTCTTCCCTTGCAGGAGTGGACTACAGGGTCTGGAAGCCCAGCAGCTGAATCACTCACTGTTCAGGGAGACACTGGAGGGAGGACTCGGTGAGGTCCTGTGACCCACCACTGAGCAGAAGCTCTTGTTGCTGGACTCAGTGAGGTCAGCAGAATCCAGCTGCTGGAATACTGGCACAGCTGCTTCTAATACAACATTTACTCAAAGTATTTGGGTCAAGGTGGGGCTTCAGCAATCCTATAAGAACAGGTGGTGTAACGGTTTTTGTGACCTGTTAATAAATGCTTGCATGTGTAGCAGAGTTTAGCCCGCGACTTGATTTGCCTTTAGCTGCAGCCCTTGGTAGCTAGAAGGGGGACCTGCAACTTCCCTAGCTCGAGCCATCCCTCTGAGGCTATCTGTATGGCACTTCTAAAACCCTGCCTGGACACTGCGGCATGCTCGGCTGCTGGTAACCGTTAAAACTGCCTGGAAGGCATTCATTCCTGTCTTGCCCATTGTCTCTATTTTTTACCAAGTCCCTGCTGTCCTTACAACCAGACTTTGCTGCCTGCTCCTATTGGGATGACGCTCAACCAACTGAGCAACACTGGCCAGGCTGCCTGCTCCCTCTGAGGGAGTCCCTTCTCTATCCAGAGCTCCAACAGCCATATCCAACAGTATTTCTATCACTTTAGCCTGACAGCTGGGTGTCCTAAATAATTCCACGGTTTAATCCAACATGCACACTTCATGACATTTCCTGATATTAATTAAGTGCTGTCAAGAGGATTAACCTCTGCAGGGGATTTTCTCTGGATGGCAAAAAAGAACTGCTCCCTAAGGCCTAAGCAATACAGTAATTCTAAATCCCAAGGCTGACGACTGCTAAAGTCTGCCACCTGGCGGCCATTCGATTTACACCAGCACTCCCCTGGCTTCCAGGATCTGGGGCTCAAGTTTCATTCAGTCCAGTAGTTCTGGCTTAAGCTGTGTATTAGAGTCAACTGGGGAGAAGATTTAAAAAACTTTAAAACTTCAATGCCTTGTCTGGGCTGGACCCCCTATCCGTTAAATAAAAACTCCTAGGGTCCTCGCTGGTTTGGCTCAGTGACTAGAGCATCGGCCTGCGGACTGAAGGGTCAAGGGTTCAATTCCCATCAAGGGCACATGCCCAGTTGTGGGCTCAATCCCCAGTAGGAGGCAGCTGATCAATGATTCTCTCTCATCACTGACGTTCTCTCTCTCTCTCTCTCTCGCCCTCTCCCTCTCTCCCTCCCTCCCTCCTTCCCTTCCTATCTGGAATCAATAAAAATATAGTATTTAAAAACTTAAAACACACACACACACACACACACACAAAACTCCTAGAAGTGGGACCTAAGGATGCACATAGAATCTCACTTGAGCTTTTAAAATATATGCTTCCTATGAATGCACCCTGACCTACTGTATCAGCATCTCCCAGGAGTGGGGCCCATGTCAGTGTAGTTGGAATATTTCTCAGGCAATATCTTACTCAGAATTAGTGGTCTCGTTCAGTGTTCCACACGCCTGCCTGATGAGACAAACACATGCTGGGTCCCTTTCTGATTTATCTTTATGGGCCTCAAATGAAACGTCAGAATCTGTATTTTTCAGCAAAAATGAGGATCAAAGAAGCTGAGTGACACGCCCAAGGTTACAAGCCTGGTGGAGCCGGGCTGGAACGTGAACCTAGCCTTTTGGTCTCACCCTTAACCACGTGCTGTTGGATGCTTACCTCTGCTGGAGGGGAATTCTTTATTTTAGTGAGCTAAAGTTCTTAGGGAGGAAACAGGAAAATGAAAATAAGTGAAGAGGTACCCCAAAGGAGACGTCATAGTCTTCACATGTGTACGGTTTGTCTGCAAGGTCTTCAAAAAACTCTGCCAAGGAGTCCAGGGTCTCCTCGGCCAGTCTTTCATAGGTGGTCTCATCCAAGGAGCTGCAGGGGGAAAAAAACACACAAAAAACATACGATCAAACTGCTCTGTTTTATTAACATCAAATCACCACATTTATTTTTCATTTAGATTTATAAAACTGATGGAAAATAGCTAACATGTACAGAGTGAAAATTTAAACAGCCCTGGCCAGTGTTGCTTAGTAGTTAGAGTGTCGGCCCACACACCGAAAGGTCTTGGGTTCGATTCCTGTCAAGGACACGTATCTGGGTTGCAGCTTCGATCCCCCGTCCCAGTTGGGGCAACCAATCAATGTGTCTCTCTCACATCAATGTTTCTGTCTCTCTCTTTCCCCCTCTCTCCTTCCCTTTCACTCCCTCTAAAAGTCAATGGGGAAAAAATATCCTTGGGTGAGGATTAACAAAAATAAAGTAAAATAAAAATATGAAGGGCTAACAGAAAAGTAAGCTTTTCTTCCCAAACAGGCAGCCTCTTCTGTATCCTTCCAAAAATGTTATATTCTTTTCAATAAACAAATGAAGCACATTAGAAATTGTCCCATCTTATCACATAGGGACTTTCATAATATTTCATTTTATATTATTTACTCAACCTATCCCCTTCAGCTGGACGATGAAGTTTCCATTGCTTTTAAATTAAAATGTATGCCCAACAAACCACAAAGTGGGGTAAAGTATATGCATTACACACATCTGAAAAAGTACTTGTATCTAGAATGTATAAAGAACTCTTAACAATTAATAAGAAAAAGAAAACCCAATAGAAAAATGGGTAAAATACTTGAACAGATTTCATTCAATGAAAAGATATCCAATGAACATATGAAAAAGTGAAAAACTTCGTTAATCTTCTGGAAAATTTATTTATTTATTTATTTTTAAAATATATTTTATTGATTTTTTTACAGAGAGGAAGGGAGAGAGATAGAGAGTTAGAAACATCGATGAGAGAGAAACATCGATCAGCTGCCTCCTGCACATCTCCTACAGGGGATGTGCCCACAACCCAGGTACATGCCCTCGACCGGAATCGAACCTGGGACCTTTCAGTCCGCAGGCCAACGCTCTATCCACTGAGCCAAACCGGTTTCGGCGGATCTTCTGGAAAATTTAAAAAACTGCTATGAGATACCTCCAGAATGGCTAACATGAAAGAGACAGATCATGTCAAGAGTTGGCCAGGGAGTGAAGCAAGCAGAGCTCTCATTTACTGCTGAGGGGCCAGTAAATGGGACAATCAGTTTGGAAAACTGTGGGCAGTATCTACTAAAGTGAATATGGACAAATGACGTTAGTTCCACACATGGGTATATACCCAACAGCAATGCACACCAAGCAGAAACAGACCCATAGATATAAGAACAAAGTGATGGTCGCCAAAGTGAAGTGGCGGGGGTGGGGGAGGGGCAGAGTAAGTGAAAGGAATGAAGAGGTACAGACTTCCAGTTATAAAATAAGTAAGTTACGGGGATGTAATGTACTGCACAGGGCATGCAGTTAATAATGTCATAATAGCTTTGTAGGGTGACAGGTGGTTACTGGATTTATTGATGATTACTAGATCATTTCCTAAGGTATATAAATGTTGAATCACTATGTTGTACGCCTGAGATTAATATAATACTGTATATTATACTTTATAATAAAACTACACTATACTTTAATAATAATAAAAGAAATACATACCTAGGTTCACCAAAAGATATGCACTATGTTAGAATGTTCATAGTAGAAGTACCCTATAGCCCCAGAATGCACACTGCCCAAGTACCCATAGGTAATACAGATAAATAAATTGTGGTATATTCATGCAATGGAATACTATATAGCAAAACAGAAATGCCTATAAATATAACAATATGGACAAATCTCACAAACCTAATGGTGACTGAAAGAAGCCACACACAAACCTATTTATATTTAATGATACAGTTCATGTAAAGTAAACAATCAGGCAAAATTAATCCAGGCTATTGGAAATCCGAATGGTCGTTACTCTGGGGCAGGGAGGGGTTAATAACTAGAAGCGAGCAGGAGGCTTGTTCTTAGGGGCTGGTAACATTCTACTTCTTGAGCTATTTTTGAGTCACATGTTATGTTCATTTTTAAAAACTTTATCAAGCTGTACACTTATAACTTGGAGACACTCATATTTTTCAATTTTAAGAAACTGTTATAAATCCATAGAAACAGAAAGTAGATTAGTGGTTGCCAGGGGCTTGGAGAAGGGAGGAAGGGGGAGTGTTTATCAGTGGGCATGCTGTTTCTTTGTGGAATGATAAAAATGTTCTGGGGTTAGTGGTGAAAGTTGCACAACCTGTGAATATTCTCAAAACCACAAAACGGTACATTTTTTAAGATGGTACATTTCAGGGTATGTGAATTACAACAATAAAAACACTGCTCTAATAAAATTGCTTGTATGAGCTTTGGTGCCTCTATGAGGAAATGTGTGTAGGCTACAAGGCGTGTCCCAGACAACTCCATCATCTGAGTTTCTAGGAGGCCTAAGGTAAGACACCAGTGGCTGTTAGATAATTCATGCAAGACAGAAAGATCTGCCAAATGACCACCCACCACCTGCCTCAAGGGTAAGATGTGGGGAAGGTTACAGGACTGAATAGGAGATGGTAAGGGGCTCTTCCTTAGAGAGTGGTGGGCCTGGCTGGGTGTGCTGGAGAGAACCTGGAGCAGAGGCTGACGTGTCCTGAGGAGTGTGGGAACATAAAGACACAGCTGGCTCAGGCGTGAAGGCCAAAGGCAAGAGCTTGGCTGGTGCTACCTGACAGCAGCCAGTTGGGCTGTCCTCCTACTCACAGCAGGACAAAGCTGTGCTTCCCAGAAGCCAGAGTAGACCCGGAAGAAGGGATGCACTTGGGCATCCTGCGAGGGCCCACGGAGCCTCAGAGACCACCAGCAGGGACAAGGGGACAGCAGCAGAGAGTCTGTGCGGGGAGGAGCTGGAAATGGTGCTAACATAGGCCGCTCGCAGCACTGGCTCGGAGGCTGTGTGGAGGGGCCAACGAACGCGGACACCGCAGGCCGGGCGCTCTCGAGGTCCTGTGAACCTGCTGCCTGGGAGGCCAGCACCTGCAGCTGTGGGGATGGTGAGCGTGTCCCCGTGTAGGGGAGGCTCCTTGCTGTTAGCTGGTGCGACATGAAAAAGGTGAATCAGGAGAGAACTGGCACAGCTGCAGGTCGGTGGGATGAAGCTAAGCATTTGGGGATTAAAGGCTGCACACGGAGGAAAAGCCAGAGGAGAATGTAAGGCCCTGAACAACAAAGGCTTCTTGTTAAGACAAAAAGAGGATCCAATCCTGATGCAAAAACAGATGGAAAGAGCTGAGCATGGGGTGAGGATGCAAAAAATAAGACAGCCTGGGGCTTCCATCCATGGAAGAAATTTGGATGTGGCTACTGGCTTCAGGACTGACTCAGGGTGAAGCGATCAGAAGCCTACTAGGTTTTTGAGAAAAATGCTCTTATCAGAGAAAAATGAGTCTGGCCTACAAGAGCCTGCTGAAGCCTTAAACACATGAGGGCGTTTGAAAGTCCAAGTGCTCCCAGCAGGAAGTGGGCAGCAAAGGCTGCCTGACCCCAAGCAGGACACGCTCCCCTCTGCCTGCCTCCCCCGTGGCCAAGGGGGTAACGGACAAGGAGGATAGTCCCGGGTGGCATAACTAGGGTTTCATGGAGGAACATCCCTCTCTGCCAGTTGTCCTAGTGTTGCCTATGGGTACTCCATCACTACCACAGGCCAGGGACAGGTCTCTTTCCTGAATGGGAGTTGTGGTGGTAGTTATCTTGCCCTGCTTTGTGTGTGTGTGTGTGTGTGTGTGTGTGTGTGTGTGTAAGTCAGAGATGCCACTCCTCGACCTGAGAGAGAGGCCTGTACAGCATCTGGACATCTTGACCTTGGAGGTAGCTGAGTGACCACATGGGCTGTGGTTGCAGCCTTGGGGCTGGAGGCAGTGTGTGTGGAGGGTGGAAGGAGGTCCGTGCAGGTATCAGTGGCAGAGGGTAGCCTGGAGCAGTGCCTGGTAGCTTTCCACCAGAGCCCATTGCCTCCTTCCTCCAGGGCACCCACAGGACCACATTTCCCAGCCTTCCCTGCAGCGAGGTGGGGCCACATGACCAAGTCCTTCCCACTAAAATGTGAGTGAGGGTCAAGTGCCACTTCTAGGCCTTCCATGCTCTTCCCCTTTCTGTGGAGTAGACCTGGACAGGGCGACCTGGCCTTGACCACGCAGAGCACAGTAAAGCACTACCCTAACTACCATGACATCAAAGAGAATATTAACAAAACTCTGGAAACAACCTAAATGTCCAACATTAGGGGATGGGGTCAATGAATTATGGTACATTCATAAAATGTAATACTTCATGGAAAATAACATGGCAGATAGTGATGTGGAGAGAAGTATGTGAGTGATGCTGCTGAGGGAGAACATGGGTTCCATATGAGATGGTCTAGGTCAGTAGTAGGCAAACTGTGGCTCGGCAAACCGTGGCTCGTGAGCCACATGCGGCTCTTTGGCCCCTTGAGTGTGGCTCTTCCACAAAATACCGACTTCTGCGCATGGGCCATGAAGTTTCAATCGCACTATACGAGAGCCACACTCAAGGGGCCAAAGAGCTGCATGTGGCTCGCGAGCCGCGGTTTGACGACCATGGGTCTAGGTCCGTGGTCAGCAAACTGCAGCTCTTTGGTCACTTGAGTATGGCTCTTCCACAAAATACCACATGCGGGCGCACATGCACAGTGCGATTGAAACTTCGTGGCCCATGTGCAGAAGTCGGTATTTTGTGGAAGAGCCACACTCAAGGGGCTAAAGAGCCGCATGTGGCTCACGAGCCACAGTTTGCCAAGCTGCAATTTGCCAACCACTGGTCTAGGTAAAAGGGGGAAAAAAGTTAATAGAAGTGTGTGTCTGTGTAGGATACATGTTGGTGTGTGTGTTGTTGGGGGGAGGGGGAAAGGGAGGGAGGGGGAGAGGGGGAGAGAGAGACTTGATGAGGAAGGTGTGTTTATCTTACCCTGGGTTGCCCAAACTTCCTGTTGTCCTCAAGTTCATCAAACAGACATTCTGCTTTTTGACATTGAGAATCTGGTTGAGGCAGTAGAGGCTCAAACCCTAAAGCCAAAGTTAAGAAGAACATTACCATTTCTCAGTATATTACAGTCCATTCATGAAAGTTTAAATATCACCACTTCTCCATTGGAGAGTAACCATGTTAGATTTTTCCAGGTGTATGCCTCAGGACTTTTCACTTTAATGTATTACATTGAGTCTCTCTCTGAGCCTTGCTATCCAGTACGGTAGCCATGAGCCACATGCAGCCTTTAAATGTAATTTTATTGCAATAAAATAAGATGTAAAAAGTCAGTCCCTTCATCGAATGGGCCACATTTCGAGTGTCCTGTGGTCTCACATGGCTGTGGGCCATCATCAAAGGAGGTTCTACTGGGCGGCACTGCTCCATCTAGGCCAGCGGTTCTCAACCTGTGGGTCGCGATCCCTTTGGGGGTCGAACAACCCTTTCACAGGGGTCGCCTAAGACCATTGGAAAACACATGCATAATTACATATTGTTTTTGTGATTAATCACGATGCTTTCATTATGTTCAATTTGTAACAATGAAAATACACCCTGCATATCAGATATTTATATTAAGATTCATAGCAGTAGCAAAATTATAGTTATGAAGTAGCAACGAAAATAACTTTATGGTTGGGGCTCACCACAACATGAGGAACTGTATTAAAGGGTCGCGGCATTAGGAAGGTGGAGAACCACTGAGCTAGGCTATTGGCACAGGTGACACCCTAAGCATCAGTGACACTCCTAGCACTTGACTAAAACAAGCAAGGAGGACCAGCACGAGGCAGAAGTCGCTGCGCCCAGAAGAGGTTCTGACTGCAGACAGATCTGATTGATTACGGATCTGCAGGAGACAATGGGACCTGTTGAATTCCTTTCACTACGGAACTGCTGAGCATCCAGCGAGTCTGCCTGACATCCAACCTACTGACCAGATGGCCAGGGAGAAAAGAACGGGAGTGGGTGGGGTGCTAGTGAGTGGAGAGCTAGAGAGGGGGTCTCGCAGATGGTCTCCCCAGGGCAGGAGGGCAGGGACCTGTGAAGGGAGAGGAAAGTGGTGCAGCCCGAGTGGAGATGGCACAGGGAGACCCTCCCTCCCCTGGACTTCATCCCGGGAGTGGGGGTAGGGGGGCGCCGAAGGGCTCTAAGGGGTTGGGATAATATTTGCATTCTCCAAAGGCCACTCCGGTTACCACTAAGAGAAGGGGTCAGAGGCTGCAGTTATGGCTCGTGAGCCATCATGCCCTTGGCCAGAAAGAAGGCAGAGGGCACGGGCTGAGAGGTGAACCGAGGGGGAGGACAAGGGGGTGCGGGGCGCAGGAGGCTTGTTTAAAAAGGTTGGTTCTGGAGGTTTACTGCTTATTCCAGCTCTGATAATGAATCGATTTACCCTGCCGTGGCATGGACATGAGTTTATTGGCGAGAGGTCTGACAGCCATTTCTCCGGAGGCCTTACCTTGCTCATATTTTCCATGCCTCCTGCAACCACAATGCTGGAGTCCCCTATCCGGATTGACTGGGCTGCAAGGCACACAGCCTTGCGACCCCTAGTGGCCGCGGGTTCGGGCGCCGCGCTCAAGGGCTCCCACGTAGGCTGTGTCACACGGTCAGAGGTTAGACCTCGGGAAGAACTTCCCAGCGTTGCACTTCTCGTGTATTTAACAAAAACGGAGAGACCCTCTTGGACCACGTAGTGAACGAGTGACTAAGGCTCCCGAGCGCGGAGACCTTGGCCTGGTGACCCGTTGCTGCAGACAGCCTACCAGGAGGGATGTGGGAGCCGCAGTCTGGCTGGGAACGGGGCAGGTGCAGGTCTGAAAGCTGCCTGGCGGCCGGTATAGGTTACAGACATAGGCCGCCTGGTTTAAATCCGGACCCTGCACCCTTGCCAGCTGTGTGACCAGTGTGCACTTCATTAACCTCTGTGCTTCATCCGTAAAATGGGGTTGATAAAAGTTTCTACTGCATAGGGTTGTAAGGATAAAATGAATTAATCCACGCAATGTTTTGTTGCACAGGCCCTGGACCCGAACAAGTGCACACTATTAAGTTGTTATAGAATTTTAAAAGAATTTTTTTGGGGGGTTGTATATTGCAAAGGAATATAAATTCTAGGTCATTAAAAGGATGTAGTTTTGGGGGGAGTCTTGCTCTGGGGAACAGTCATCATATTTTGAGGAAATCCAAACTACCCAAGCAGAGAGATGACACAGGAACTGAGGCCGCCAGCCAACTCCCAGCATCAGCCACTAGACATGTGAGCGAACTGGTTTCCAGGTGAGTCCAGCACCAGCCTTGGAGTCTTACAGCTGAGGCCACAGACAAACTGCCCCTGCTGTGCCCTGCCTGGATTCCAGACCCCAAGGATTTGTGAGCATAAGAGATGTTGGCTTGAGTTTAAGCCAGTGCCGTATGTGTTTGGGGAATCTGTTTCACGGCCACAACAACAGGAACACATGGCTGCCTCCTCCTCATCCTCTAGTAACTCCAATGTCAGATAAGACGTCCTCCAGTCATGTCTTTCCTGAAACCAACCCCTCTATCTCCACAAATGTGTCTTAGGCACCCTCTGTGTTTCTGCAGCTTGTAAGGTAATTGCAAGGTTTTTTTTTTGTTTTGTTTTTAAGTATGATTTTATTGATTTCAGAGGGGAAGAGGGGGAGAGAGAGAGAGAGAGAGAAATGTCCGTAATGAGAATTATTGATCAGCTGCCTCCTGCACCCTTCCCACTGGGGGTCAAGCCTACAACCTGGGCATGTGCCCGGGCCAGAAACTGTGACCTCTTGGTTCATAGGTCGATGCTCAACCACTTAGCCACACCGGCCAGGCTCTGTTGTCTGTGTTTTACCTGCTGATTCATTGTCTCCCACACTAGAATATCAGCTCCGTGTCTATCCTGTTCACCATTGTATCCTCCGTGTTAGACGTGGTGCTGGGAGATAGCAGGTGCTCAATAACTATTTGCCAAATGAGTGGATCAATACCCCTGCTCTGTGACCTGCTAGGTAAACTTGATCTGTAAAATGGGGATCATAGTGGTACCTACCACATAGTGTTGAAAGAATTAAGTAAAATACTGTCTAATTTTTATGGTAATAACATCTGGCACATAGTAAGACCTCAACAGTTATTATTTATTCTCTTCTCTTCCTCTGTCCCTGAGGTCTAGGCTCAACTCTGACCCTGCTTGGGCAAACTTGGCCTAATCACTGACACTCTCAGGCTGTCAGAGTTTATTCAGTCAAGTATTTATTGGAGCCTACACACGGTTCTAATGCTGGAGATGTGGTGATGAAGAAAATAAACACAAATCTGTGTTTTGCTCTCCGGGAACTTAGTGGCCTAGATATTTCTCCTGAATTCTCTGTCACGCAGGAACTAGAATTATCTGGCTGAGTTCTGATTAGATGAGGGAACGAGAATGGCCCAGCCTGATGACTTGGTCTGGTCATCAGCTTAATTTAATCTAGCTCCCGCAGGCTTCTAAAATTATATGGCAGACATCCTCCAACGGTGCACATTTATTTGATACAGCACAGTGTCTAATGGTGTCCCTGCAGTTCTTCCATCTGAGAGCACATTGAGGATTGAAGAGTTAGAGGACAGCTAGAAGAGCCTTCTCCTACAGAGTCTTGGGGAGGGTGGGGGGGAAGAGAGCACAGGTGGTGGCAGCATCCAAGGAGCCCCACTTTGGGCTAGCATTTCTTCTCATTTCTCATAGCAAACCTTAAAGTGTCCCTCTTGTTGGAAAATAAAGCCAAAGTCATTGTAGAAATGCATTCTTTTGGGGCCAAAAGAAAGCGGTGTAAGGGGGTAGCTGGGGTGGCGAAGCAATTGCTAATACAATTCTCTCTGACCTGCACCTAATTTCAGATGAAGAAATGGAGGTTCAGAGAATTTAAATGATGTGCCCATGATCAAAATGGGGCTAGAACCCAGGCCTCCTGATTTTTAGTCCTGTGCTCTTACCCTGTGGTCTTAAGAAACAATAATTTCTCTAGTTTCAGTAGATCTGTCCCAGGGGAGAGCTCTGATTGGCCCTGTGATCATATGCCCACCCCTCGGAGCAATCACTATTGCTAAGGAGTAACATGATTGGTCGGTTCG